GAGTGGTGAGAGGAGGTGAGGGCAGAGGGACCACAGGGCTGGAGCATGCCTTCTCTAGAAGGCTGTGATGTGGAAGTCAGATGGCTTCTTCCTGGGTGCATTGGTACCACTCTCAAGGGGTTTCTATTGTTGGAAAATGAACTTCAGTTAGGAGCAAAGTCTCCTCCCAGCCCCAAACCCTCTCCATAAAGGTGGAAGAGAAAGAAAACACTTTGATTATTGAGTAAGCATGCAGCCAAAGTGTGATGTGCAGTCACAGGCGATCCAATAAGGAGACTCAACAATTATGTCATTGGGATCTGCTTAACATTATGTTAAGCAAAATAAGCCAAACTCAGAAAGTCAAGGGTGGTGTTTTTTCTCCTACGTGGAAGCTAGAGAGGAAAAAGGAAAAGAAACATGGCAGGTGGCAGGAGGATGGAAATCTCTCGGAAATCAAAGGTAGATAGAGGAAGGAGACCAAGGGGAGGGAGGAGGGAAGGAAAAGGGAAATACTGGGGAATACCACTGGCCAAATCATATTGTATATTGTGCATATATGAATATATAACAGTTAATCTCACCATTATATATATATCTTTTATATGGTTCAGTGGATTCAACCATTTCATGGGGGTAGGTTTTGCAATATGGACTCAGGGACCAAGTCAGGCCCACATCCTTTAAGGAAACAGGGAGTTCAGGTGTTATCTTCCTTGATGATTCCATTCCAAAGAAATGGTAAGAGTGTAGCAAGACCATGGTAGCTTGGTGTAGGTTGGTGACCATGAAGTTGGAGAGAAGAGAATGGATGAAGGCTTATGTATTAGAGTCAGGGTTTGGCAGAGGAATAGTGTGTGTGTGTGTGTGTGTGTGTGTGTGTGTGAGAGAGAGAGAGAGAGAGAGAGAGAGAGAGAGAGAGAGAGAGAGAGAGAAGGGCATGCAGCAGGCTTATTTGAGGAAATGGCACATACAGTTTTGGATGCCAAAAAATCCAAAATCGACAGGCTAGAAACTCAGAAAAGAGCTTATATGTTTTAGTCAGCTTTCCATGACTAAAGCAAAGTACTTGAGATAATCAACTTATAAAGAGAAGGTTTATTTTAGCTCACAGTTTTGGAAGTTCCAACCTACAATTATTCATTGTTTTGGGCCTGTGGTGAGGCAGCACATCATGGTGGGAGTGCCCTGCAAAGCAAGAGCTCTCACTTCATGGCCAGGGAGCATAAAAGAGAGAGGGGAAGGGACCTTTAAGAGAACATTCCCAGTGACCTAAGGAGCACCCATAAGGCCCTACCTCCTAAAGCATTTGCTATCTCCCAGAAGTAACACCCTGCAGATCAAATCTTTAACTCATGGGCCTTTAGAGACCGTTCAAGATCCAAACTGTAGCAGACTCCAAAGGCAATATAGAGGTAGAAATCCCTCTTCCTCAAGGAATTTCTTTGGTTTGTTTTCTCTTAAGGTCTTCATTATCATTGGATGTAGTCCACCCACATTATGGAGGGTGATCTAATTTACTAAAAATCTCTTGATTAAAATGATGATCTTAGAAGAAGATCTCACAGCAAAATTCAGATTGGTGTTTGATCCAATATCTGATTACCATGACCCCACCAAGTTGATATAGACAATTAGCCGTCGAGCCGTATTTTGAGTTACCATTAATAGATTCAGTTATTGTCCTGGAACAAGAGGGAAAAGTGAAAATCTGGGTTGAACCCTAGGGTTTTTGGTTTATGAATCTGGGTGTCTAGTGGTGCTATTAAGAAAAGATATATTGGATTTTTATTCATTAAATACGACCATAGTTAAAATAGAATTAAGTTGAAGCTACAGATAAAAATTAAGCACCCAGCAGCTCAGAAGACTGAGGCAGGAGAATTGCAAGTTCAAAGCCAGTCTCAGCAATTTAGTGAGGCCCTAAGCAATTTAGCTAGACCCTGTGTCAAAATTAAAAAGAAAAAGGGCTGGGGATGTGGCTCAATGATTAAGCACCACTGGGTTCAATCCCTGATACCAAAATAAAATAAAATAAAAGTCAAATAAGTGTAAATCTCTTTCAGAAACACTAGTCATGCATTGACTTGTATGCACCTAACCTTATGTGGCTGTTTACCACTTGGATTGCTGACCAAGTGTGGCCAGTTTATTAGTGTTTGGATTGCTGACCAAATTTGTCCGGTTAATAAATGTTTGCAACAACATAATAAAAATGGCTGAACTATGAAATGGAAGATATATTTATTATTAACAATGAGATATTACTGAGCAAAGCCATCTGAGAAGTCAAAGACAAGTTCAGATAGGAAAATGGCAGAGGGACTAGTCAAAATGAATCAAAGTAAGTTTCAGAATTCATTACTGATTTATTCAGCTTTGCATTGCTGTGGCCCAAAGACCTGACAAGAGCAACTTAGAGGAAAAGTTTACTTTGGCTCTTGTTTCAGAGGTTCAGTCCATGGTCAGCTGACTTCATAACTCTGGGCCTGAGATGAAGGAGAACATCATGGGGAAGGGTGTGGCAGAGGAAAGCAGCTCAGGACATGGCAGCTAGGGAGCAGAGAGAGAGAGAGAGAGAGAGAGAGAGAGAGAGAGCCCTGTTCACCAAGAACAAAATATAAACACCAAACCCTAGTAACCTACTTCCTCCAGCCACAACCCACCTGCATACAGTTACCACCCAGTTAATCCATATCAGTGGACTAATCCAGTGATCAGGTTACAATTTGCATAATCTAATTATTTCACTTCTGAACAATCTTGCATCGTCTCACACATGAGCTTTGGGGGACACCTCATATCTAAACCATAACAATTACCTTTGTAGACTGGGAGAGACCAAATTTGCATTTGTGTGTGGTAAATGACCATAGTAACTTTTTCAAAAAGGAGGTTTATATTTTCCTATGTCCAATTTTTTTATTTTGAACAAGGCACCATGTTATTCAATTTTTAATTTTATGGCCAAGGCAGGAAGTCACATGAGGGCGTGGGCAGCAAGAAAATGAGATGAAGCATGGGCAGGAGTTCTGCTGGTCTGGAGGTTGTGGGGTGAGATTTGGTCAGATATGGCAGGTTCCGCTGATGCATGTCTCCACAGACACCAACAGAAGCAGGTATTCTAAAAAACCATGAGGAAGAGCTGAGGAACTCAGGCAGCAGTTCTAAGTAGCACAGAATTAGGATCCCAGGTCCTACACAGACAAGAGGTCTCCAGCAAGTGTGGGCAAGAGCAGATGGAGGAATGTGCCTGATCTCTTGAGACTGAGGTTCATCATAAGCTTTAAGTCCAAAGATCCAGATCCTTTGAAAGATTTTGGAGTGCAGGTGGTGCTTACCTCACTGGACAGTTGACCCTAGTCAATGTGGTGTGGCTTGTGAAAACAGAGGACGATCTAGTGGTACTAATCTTTGTTTTATTTCACTGGGATGATTAGATTAAAAACAGTGAGCTCCTTTATCCAGACTCTCAAAAATCTGCCCAAACTACCAGCTCATTTTGAAAGTACCATGCAAAAATCAATAGAAGCCATTTTGGAAGACTTCAAAGAAGTGTTTAATTTGTATTGATTTCTTTTCATTTGTACATTATTTAAAAAGAAAAATCTTGACATGAATTCAATTTTGATTTAAAAGAAAAAAATATGCTTACCAGATATTTTTTTCTTTCCTTTTTTTAACAAGAGGAAGTCCTGTTTTGCTAGCTAGCAGCTATGTGCTATAAGTAAAAGCTTTCTATACACATTTCTTTAAATCATCAGTTTCAAATTATCAGCACAAACTACATTGTTAAACTTACTGATGTAAAATATTGTCTCAAATGAATCTTTTATTGAAAAGGTCACAAATAATAATTAAATATATTTTTGTATCTTTTTGATATAAAAAGGTATAGACATTAAAATGTAAGTTAACAATACAGACGCTCTAGATACTAAATCTTTTAGTGACCTATCATGGGGAGAGAAAAAATAATAATAAAAACAAAATAAAACAAAAAAAATTGTTGTGTTAGCGTGACCTGGACTACCAAGAAAAACACTTCAAAAATTTGGAGAACAAAATTATATATTTGATTTTATATGATTTGTAAAATAAAATATTTTTTAAAATTAAAAAGCTCCTAATGCTATCACTAGAAAATATATATATATATATATATGCTTCAAAAATAGTTAGGATGGAGGGGGTGAGAACATGGCGGCGAGAGGGGAGGCAGTGCTTTCAGTACCTCCTCAACAACGGGGTCAGAGAGACGCATGGATACGCTTAGATTCGACCTGCTGAGAAACTCCTAGCAAAATTCCACTAAAGAGAGACCGGCCGGGAATTGGAAGGATTTTT